TACACACACACGGGAACAGCTGCTCCATCAACTACTCACACGCACACACATAGTCACATACACACACAGTCACACACACACACAGTCATACACACACACACACAGTCACACACACACACACATAGTCACATACACACACAGTCACATACACACACACACACATAGTCACATACACAGTCACACACGCACACACACATACACATACATACACACACAGTTACACACACACACATAGTCACACATACACACACAGCCACGGGAACAGCTGCTCCATCAACTACTCACACGCACACACATAGTCACATACACACACAGTCACATACGCACGCACACATACACACACAGTCACATACACACACAGTCACATACGCACGCATAGTCACATACACACACAGTCACATACACACACAGTCACACACGCACACACACATACACACACACACGCACACACACATACACACACATACACACATAGTCACATACACACACAGTCACATACGCACGCATAGTCACATACACACACATACACACACAGTCACATACACACACAGTCACATACACACACATAGTCACATACACACACACACACATAGTCACATACACAGTCACACACGCACACACACATACACACACATACACACACAGTCACACACGCACACACACATACACACATAGTCACATACACACACAGTCACATACACACACACACACATAGTCACATACACAGTCACACACGCACACACACATACACACACAGTTACACACACACACAGTCACACATACACACACAGTTACACACACACACATAGTCACACATACACACACAGCCACGGGAACAGCTGCTCCATCAACTACACGCACAGACACATACACACACATACATAGTCACACACATAGTCACATACATAGTCACACACACACACAGTTACACATACACACACATACACACACAGTTACATACACACATACACACACAGCCACGGGAACAGCTGCTCCATCAACTACTCAGTTACACACACACATATACACACAGTCATACACACACACACACACAGTCACACACACACACATACATAGTCACACACAGTCACATACACACACATACACACACACATACACACACACAGTTACACACATACACACATACACACACAGCCATGGGAACAGCTGCTCCATCAACTACTCAGTTACACACACACACACAGTCACACACACACACACATACATAGTCACACACAGTCACATACACACACACGGGAACAGCTGCTCCATCAACTACTCAGTTACACACGCACATATACACAGTCACAGTTACACACACACATACATACACATACATACATACACATACACAGTTACACACACACATACATACACATACACACACAGTCACATACATATATACATATACACACACACGGGAACAGCTGCTCCATCAACTACTCACACAGTCACATACACACACACAGTCATACACAGTCATACACAGTCATACACAGTCATACACATACACATACATACACATACACACAGTCACATACATACACACACAGTTACACATGCATATATACACATACACACAGTCATACACACACACAGTCATACACAGTCACATACATACACATACACACAGGCACATACACACACACACAGGCACATACATACACACAGTCACATACATACACAGTTACACACACATATACATACATATAGTCATACACACGCATACACACACATACACACACACACATACACACACACACATAGTCACATACACACAGCCACGGGAACAGCTGCTCCATCAACTACTCACACAGCACGCAGAGACACATACACACAGTCACACACATACACAGTCACACACACACACGCACAGTCATACACACATACACAGTCACACACATACATACACACGGGAACAGCTGCTCCATCAACTACTCACACAGCACGCACAGTCACTCACGCACAGTCACGCACAGTCACACGCATATACACAGTCACATACACACAGTCATACACATACACACACAGTCACATACATACACACGGGAACAGCTGCTCCATCAACTAGTCACAGTCACGTGCATACACGCGCACAGTCAGTCACATACACGCAGACATACACACAGTCACACGCACAGTCAGTCACACACGCATACACACACACACACGCACACAGTCACGCAGAGACACATACATACATACACACACATACACACAGACACACACACATAGTCACACACACACAGAGACACACACAGAGACACACACATACAGACACAGTCACATACACACAGACATAGTCACACAGTCACATACACACAGTCACAGTCACACATACACACACATACACACAGAGACACACACAGTCACACACACAGTCACACACAGTCACACACACAGTCACACAGTCACACACACGCACAGTCACACATACATACACACATACACAGTCATACACATACATACATACACACACATACAGTCACATACGCATACACACAGACATACATACAGTCACATACACACACACACACACACAGTCACACACATACACACACACAGTCACAGTCAGTCACACACATACATACAGTTCCCATACACACAGTCACACACGCATACATACACACACACACACAGTCACACACATACACACACACGCACATACACACAGTCACACACATACACAGTCACATACATACACACACATACACACACAGTCACACACAGTCACATACATACACACACGCACAGACACACACACACATACACACACAGAGACACAGTCAGTCACACACACACACAGTCATACATACACACAGTCACAGTCAGTCACACACACACACAGTCATACATACACACAGTCACAGTCAGTCACATACATACACAGTCATACATACATACACACAGTCACATACAGTCACACAGACATACACACAGTCACATACAGTCATACAGTCAGTCACACACACACACAGTCACACACAGTCACGCAGAGACACATACATACACATACACACAGTCACATACACAGTCACAGTCACATACATACATAGTCACACACATACAGACATACATACAGACATACAGTCACACACACATACACACAGAGACACATACACAGTCACAGACATACATACACACAGTCACACAGAGACACACACAGTCACATACACAGACAGACATACATACAGTCACATACACACACATACATACATACATACAGACACAGACACATACATACAGACATATACATACAGACAGACACACACACACAGTCACACACACATACACGCACATACACGCACATACACGCACATACATAGACACACACAGACACACACACACATACATACAGACACAGACACATACACACACAGACACACACACATAGACACATACACACAGACACATACATAGACACACACAGACACACACACACAGTCACACACAGATACAGAGACACAGACACACACAGACATACACGCACATACATAGACACACACAGACACACACACACACATACATACAGACACAGACACATACACACACACACACAGACACACACACACACATACATAGACACACACAGACACACACAGACACACACAGACACACACACACACATACATACATAGACACACACAGACACACACACACATACATACAGACACATACAGCACGCACTGGGGTGATTACCCAGCATGCCGTGGGGCTCTCACCTGCATGAAGGTGGCCTTGAGGTGGGTGGCACGGGCCGCGCCCGGCGTGGAGATGGCGGCCACCACGTCCTGCACAAAGCCGCACTGCAGACAGAGACGCCCAGAGACACGGAGACACAGACAGACACGGAGACAGACACGGAGACACGGAGACACAGAGACAGACACGGAGACACAGAGACGGAGAGACACAGAGACACGGAGACAGACACGGAGAGAGAGAGACAGAGACACGGAGAGACAGAGACACACAGAGAGAGACACGGAGACACAGAGAGAGACACAGAGACACAGAGAGAAAGACACGGAGAGAGAGACACAGAGACACGGAGAGACACGGAGAGAGACACGGAGAGAGACACAGAGACACGGAGAGACACGGAGAGAGACACAGAGACAGACACACAGAGACACAGACATGGAGAGAGACACGGAGAGAGACACAGAGACACGGAGAGACACGGAGAGAGACACAGAGACAGACACACAGAGACACAGACATGGAGAGAGACACAGAGAGAGACACAGACACACAGAGAGCGACAGAGAGAGACACGGAGAGACACGGAGACAGAGAGACACGGAGACAGAGAGACACAGAGAGAGACAGAGAGACACAGAGAGAGACACGGAGACAGAGAGAGAGACACAGAGAGAGACAGAGAGACAGAGAGAGACACAGAGAGAGACACAGACATAGAGAGAGACACAGAGAGAGACACAGACACACAGAGAGCGACAGAGAGAGACACGGAGAGACACAGAGACACGGAGACAGAGAGAGAGACACAGAGAGAGACAGAGAGAGACACAGAGAGAGACACAGACATGGAGAGAGACACGGAGAGAGACACGGACACACAGAGAGCGACAGAGAGAGACACGGAGAGACACAGAGACAGAGAGACACGGAGACAGAGAGACACGGAGACAGAGAGACACAGAGAGAGACACGGAGAGAGAGACAGAGAGAGACAGAGAGACAGAGAGAGACACAGAGAGAGACACAGACATGGAGAGAGACACAGAGAGAGACACAGACACACAGAGAGCGACAGGGAGAGACACGGAGAGACACAGAGACACGGAGACAGAGAGAGAGACACAGAGAGAGACAGAGAGACACAGAGAGAGACACAGAGAGAGACAGAGAGACAGAGAGAGACACAGAGAGACACAGAGAGAGACACAGAGAGAGACAGAGAGACAGAGAGAGACACGGAGAGAGACAGAGAGAGACAGAGAGACAGAGAGGAGACACGGAGAGAGACAGAGAGAGACAGAGAGACAGAGACACAGAGAGACGCGGAGAGACACGGAGAGACAGACACGGAGACACAGATACACTACATTATACACTACATTACACTATACACTACTACACTACACACTACTACACTATACACTACATTACACTATACACTACTACACTATACACTACACTATACACTACACTATACACTACACTACACACTACTACACTACACACTACTACACTAACTACTAACTAACTACACTATACACTACACTATACACTACACTATACACTAACTACACAACATTATACACTATACTAACTAACTACACTATACACTACACTATACACTAACTACACAACATTATACACTATACTAACTAACTACACTATACACTACACTATACACTAACTACACAACATTATACACTATACTAACTACACTACACTATACACTACTAGTATACTACACTAACTATACTAACTACTAACTACACTAACTACTAACTACTAACTACACTACTAACTATACTAACTACTACTAACTACACACTAACTACACTACTAACTATACTAACAACTACTAACTACACTACTAACTACACTACTAACTATACTAACTACACACTAACTACACTACTAACTATACTAACTACACTACTAACTATACTACTAACTATACTAACTACACTACTAACTATACTAACTACTACTAACTACACACTAACTACACACTAACAACTACTAACTACACTACTAACTATACTAACTACTACTAACTACATTACTAACTATACTAACTACACACTAACTACACTACTAACTATACTAACTACACTACTAACTATACTAACTACACTACTAACTATACTAACTACACACTAACTACACTACTAACTATACTAACTACTACTAACTACACTACTAACTATACTAACTACACTACTAACTATACTAACTACTACTAACTACACACTAACTACACACTAACAACTACTAACTACACTACTAACTATACTAACTACTACTAACTACATTACTAACTATACTAACTACACACTAACTACACTACTAACTACACTACTAACTATACTAACTACTACTAACTACATTACTAACTATACTAACTACTACTAACTACACACTAACTACACTACTAACTATACTAACTACTACTAACTACACACTAACTACACACTAACTATACTAACAACTACTAACAACTACTAACTACACTACTAACTATACTAACTACTACTAACTACACACTAACTACACTACTAACTACATTACTAACTATACTAACTACTACTAACTACACACTAACTACACTACTAACTATACTAACTACTACTAACTACACACTAACTACACTACTAACTACATTACTAACTATACTAACTACACACTAACTACACTACTAACTACTACTAACTACACACTAACTACACTACTAACTACATTACTAACTATACTAACAACTACTAACAACTACTAACTACACTACTAACTATACTAACTACTACTAACTACACACTAACTACACTACTAACTACATTACTAACTATACTAACTACTACTAACAACTACTAACTACACTACTAACTATACTAACTACTACTAACTACACACTAACTACACTACTAACTACATTACTAACTATACTAACTACACACTAACTACACTACTAACTACACTACTAACTATACTAACTACACACTAACTACACTACTAACTACATTACTAACTATACTAACTACTACTAACTACACACTAACTACACACTAACTACACTACTAACTATACTAACTACTACTAACTACACACTAACTACACTACTAACTATACTAACTACTACTAACTACACACTAACTACACTACTAACTATACTAACTACTACTAACTACACTACTAACTACACTACTAACTATACTAACTACTACTAACTACACACTAACTACACTACTAACTATACTAACTACTACTAACTACACTACTAACTACACTACTAACTATACTAACTACTACTAACTACACACTAACTACACTACTAACTATACTAACTACTACTAACTACACACTAACTACATTACTAACTATACTAACTACTACTAACTACACACTAACTACACTACTAACTATACTAACTACTACTAACTACACTACTAACTACACTACTAACTATACTAACTACTACTAACTACACACTAACTACATTACTAACTATACTAACTATACTAACTACTACTAACTACACACTAACTACACTACTAACTATACTAACTACTACTAACTACACTACTAACTACATTACTAACTATACTAACTACTACTAACTACACTACTAACTACACTACTAACTATACTAACTACTACTAACTACACACTAACTACACACTAACTATACTAACAACTACTAACTACACTACTAACTACACTACTAACTATACTAACTACTACTAACTACACACTACCTACATTACTAACTATACTAACTACTACTAACTACACTACTAACTACATTACTAACTATACTAACTACACTACTAACTACACTACTAACTACACACTAACTACATTACTAACTATACTAACTACTACTAACTACACACTAACTACACACTAACTACACTACTAACTATACTAACTACTACTAACTACACACTAACTACATTACTAACTATACTAACTACACACTAACTACACTACTAACTATACTAACTACTACTAACTACACTACTAACTACACTAACTACTACTAACTACACACTAACTACATTACTAACTATACTAACAACTACTAACTACACTACTAACTACATTACTAACTACTACTAACTACACACTAACTACACTACTAACTATACTAACTACTACTAACTACACTACTAACTATACTAACTACTACTAACTACACACTAACTACATTACTAACTATACTAACTACACACACTAACTACACTACTAACTACATTACTAACTATACTAACTACACACTAACTACACTACTAACTACATTACTAACTATACTAACTACACACTAACTACACTACTAACTACATTACTAACTATACTAACTACACACTAACTACACTACTAACTACACTACTAACTATACTAACTACTACTACTAACACTACTACATTACTAACTATACTAACTACACACTAACTACACTACTAACTATACTAACTACTACTAACTACACTACTAACTACATTACTAACTATACTAACTACACACTAACTACACTACTAACTATACTAACTACTACTAACTACACTACTAACTACATTACTAACTATACTAACTACACACTAACTACACTACTAACTATACTAACTACTACTAACTACACACTAACTACACTACTAACTACATTACTAACTATACTAACTACTAACTAACTACACTACTAACTATACTAACTACTACTAACTACACTACTAACTACATTACTAACTATACTAACTACACACTAACTACACTACTAACTACATTACTAACTATACTAACTACACACTAACTACACTACTAACTATACTAACTACTAACTACTAACTATACTAACTACACTACTAACTATACTAACTACTACTAACTACACACTAACTACATTACTAACTATACTAACTACTAACTAACTCGACTAGTACACTAACTACACTAACTACACTATATTAACTACACTATACACTACTAACTAACTATACTAACTACACTACACTAACTCTACTAACTAACTACTACACTATATACTAAGTAGTAACTAACTACACTAACTAACTACTACACTATATACTAAGTAGTAACTAACTACACTAACTAACTACTACACTATATACTAAGTAGTAACTAACTACACTAACTAACTACACACTAACTATATACTAACTAACTACTACACTATATACTAAGTAGTAACTAACTATACTAACTAACTACTACGCTATATACTAAGTAGTAACTAACTACACTACACTAACTATACTAACTAACTACTACGCTATATACTAAGTAGTAACTAACTACACTAACTAACTACTCTCTAACTGACTCCACGCGACTCACCGTGGAGCTGTAGGTGCCACCCATCACCCTCCGTTTCACCGCCTCCAGCCCCCCCAACATCCCCTCCTCTGATTGGCCGTCGCCCGCCGAGGCTCCGCCTCCACCGCCACCCGATTGGTCGGCCGGTTCCGCCTTGAAGGCCGCCGATTGGCCACCGGGAACTCCGGGGGGAGGCTGCGATTGGTCGAGAGATTTCAGGGGGAGGGGCAAGTCAGTGTCTCTCTACCCAGTGTCTCTCTACCCAGTGTCTCTCTACCCAGTGTCTCTCTACCCAGTGGTCTCTCTACCACGAGTGTCTCTCTACCCAGTGTCTCACTACCCAGTGCTCTCTACCCAGTGTCTCACTAACCCCGTGCCTCATCTACCCAGTGTCTCACTACCCAGTGTCTCACTACCCAGTGTCTCTCTACCCAGTGTCTCACTACCCAGTGTCTCTCTACCCAGTGTCTCACTACCCAGTGTCTCTCTACCCAGTGTCTCTCTACCCAGTGTCTCACTACCCAGTGTCTCTCTACCCAGTGTCTCACTACCCAGTGTCTCACTACCCAGTGTCTCTCTACCCAGTGTCTCTACCCAGTGTCTCTCTACCCAGTGTCTCTCTACCCAGTGTCTCTCTACCCAGTGTCTCTCTACCCAGTGTCTCTCTACCCAGTGTCTCTCTACCCAGTGTCTCACTACCCAGTGTCTCACTACCCAGTGTCTCTCTACCCAGTGTCTCTCTACCCAGTGTCTCTCTACCCAGTGTCTCTCTACCCAGTGTCTCACTACCCAGTGTCTCTCTACCCAGTGTCTCACTACCCAGTGTCTCACCACCCAGTGTCTCTCTACCCAGTGTCTCTCTACCCAGTGTCTCTCTACCCAGTGTCTCACTACCCAGTGTCTCTCTACCCAGTGTCTCTCTACCCAGTGTCTCACTACCCAGTGTCTCTCTACCCAGTGTCTCTCTACCCAG